ATATCTTCCCTTGCTCCAATATAGCGGATATAATGAAACCTTATTATTGAATGCTTTAGAGCCCGACTTCACATCTGTAAACTCTGCCCTTCTTGGTATCATCAAGGAATTTTCGAAGAAATTTTAAGGCGTTAATTACAAAAGTTGCATTGTAGAGGTTCTTTTTTACCTAGGTTATATTATATATATGATACAGTAATCAGATCTGAAAAATTTCTTATGATATTTTATTGTTACTGTGGCCAATAATCCATGCCAAATTTCATCAAGTAATTTTAGTGGAAATATTAAGACGTTAAATACAAAAGGGGCATTATCGAAGTTTTTTTTTACCTAGGTTATGCTTTTGAGCTACGCTTCGAACAATGTTTATTTCCTACCTGTTATTCTACCTAGAATGTTTTGTACTTACCCATCAGTTAATTAGGGTTTTAAAACTGAATAATTATTTTTTCAAAGTTAGTGTTCTATTATTATTAATAAATAATAATATATCTTGAATAATTAGGGATATGTTTATTTTATGGTTAATTAAATAATATTTTTGCTCCTTACTCATATGTATCCATTCTTAACACAATTTTCAACTTATTGCCCCAATTAGCTACATGTCATACCTTACTTTTGGCCCAAGCAAAACAGTTTTTGGCAGATATAAGAAAAATTTTATTGAAAGCTCAAATTGGACAGTATAAATTATTAATTAATCTGATTTGTTTATAATATATTTTTTGTAAAGTCAATAAATCTGATTACAATGTAAATATATTGGAGAAGATTGATTAGTTATGTTACTCAATATTTACCATATAGGAATAATTTAAGGGTTTAATTTTCTATTACAAACTATATTACATTTCGGAAAAAATAGGTTCTCTATTTAATGAAAAAAGTAAGTCATGCCAAACTTTGTGAAGATATTTTGTCATATAAAAAAATTGCCCATACAAGATCTTGATTTTGATCGGTCAGTTTCTATGACAGCTGTATGCTATAGTGGTCCTATCTTCACAATTCGTTCGAAGATTGAAGTCATATCTTAAGCAATAATCCATACTAAAAACTTCCATACGAAAATTTATTTTGATCGGTCCGTTTCTATGATAGCTGTGGTCTGATATGAACAATTCGATCGAAGATTGTAGCGATATCTTGGACAATCATCATCCATGCCATATTTCGTGAAGATAACTTGTCGTAAACAATTTTTTTCATATAAGACCTTAATTTAGATTGTCAGTTTGTATGGCAGCTAAATTTAGTTTAGTATCTTTCAATACTACATTTTGCATTTCTGAAATTAATATTAAGATCAACCTAATTAATTCAAATGACATATGGTATATGTGATATAAACTCAATCAAACAAAATAAATTTAATATATTGGGTACATGAGGAAAACATAAACCAAAGGATGGGAAGTCCCAATTTCATTCAGGACTAATGAAAAATATTGTATGTAGTATATGTGAGCTATAGAGTATCCAATATTACACATTCATTTAATATTACTAAGATATCTTACATATTTACCGATATATACGGTATAAAGCCAACCGGAAGTGTGAAATTCTTATATAATTCTGGACAATTTACTTATATAAGATATATGAGGGCTAGGGAATATTAAGACCTCATTTTGTAAGAATGTGGGAGCTAAGCGAAGTATTGATCCAATTTTACGAGTTTTCGGCACAAGAGCATGCCGTCATCACAAAAATATTGTCCCGGAATTTCAATGCTAAACCTAACAGATTGCTCGATCTGTGGTCCACCTATTTAGTGTCTGAGTCCTTGAAAATTTATCATTCTGTTTCTATAGAGCCCTTCCTTACCATCATGGTTGTTAAATTTAAAGCTTGTGGCGAATTTATTCAGTCAGATATCGCACCTTTAGTGATTTTCAAGCTTTAAAAATTTTTTAGCCCACACGTGTTCCTGGCTGCTGCCATTTTGTAACTTCGTTTAGTGCTCAGTTATGGCACATGGTTTTTATTTATTGGAAATCTTCAATACCAACCCCCCTTGGGTACCAAGAAATATGTTTACCACAATATCTCAATTTTGTATCAAGTTATCACTTGCGCGGACAGACGTACATATAGTTATTCGGAATTCAACTCGTTTCGTCATTATGATCATTTATATATGCATAACTCGACATATATCTCGATTAGTTTTGGTGATACAAACAACCGTTAGGTGAACAAAACTATTATACTCTGTAGCAACATGTTGCAAGAGTATAAAATCACGTTGCGAAAGAATTCAAATTCGCTATTCTAAGGAATTATGAATGGATTACAATAATATTTACTCCTACTATACATATTTATAAATCAAAGTTTTCCACATTCCTTAATACTAATATTTAAGCAATCTAGTATTCGTATTTATTGGTAAAGTTTAAAGAAAGAATACTTAGATTTTAAGTGAAGAACGTATTTAAGTGTTGGAACCTATCTCAAAAAACGTTGTAAAAAAGCCGAGGTTTTTACAGATTTTTGATACAAGAGCACATTATTATGGGGCAAATATGCTAACTGAATTTCATTATTATATCATATATAAAGTTATGGTCCAATTCGAAGATGAAAGTTAGATATTGGATTATAGGTCAACCGATTTCATTAAATTACACGCTGTATAAGGAGGAGCTAGACTGAGAGGGTGTCCTCGGTACATATGGTTCATATAGCTTTAGGGGTTTTTTAGCCATGTATATTAAACCAAAGAAGGGTCGGAGCCACGTCCACTTTGAAAAACTTGTATACTGCAAATGCTTCGCTATAATTTAATGCTCTGTAACAAATTCGAACTTTAGTTATAATATTTCTCATTTTGTGGGCGTCGAAATAGTCATACTCCGCCTATCTACCGCAATGACAAGGAAACGGATAGACGCCCGGCTTTCAACTCGTCTCGTCATGCTGATCATTTATTTATGTACAATATAATAAATAACTCTATATATCTCGAATAGCTTTATTTAGAAACAACCGTTGGGTGAACAAAACTATTACACTTTGTGCCTTTAAGAATCTTTACACACTTTATTACATGTGTACAAGAGTATAAAAATCCTTTCAATCAACTCGTTGATTTTCGACCATACTATGACGAATAAGAAAGCAATTTTTATTTCTAGCCGACGAGACGTCGACGTTAGCAAAATAACGACAGTGTGACCAATGATTTAAACCTGATTAAAAGTTAATTTTATATAAGAACTTTATTTGACGTGACAAGAGAGAAACGGGCTTGCTTTTACTTAAAATAGCTCATAACACTGAAATGGACCCAGTACTTAGAAGCGAAGAAAAATTCAAAATTAAGGCTTTTCACAAATATATTTGAATAAATTGGAACTAAAATAATCACTGGTGAAGGAAAATGTTCGTTTATTTTGTTGGATATTCACTTTCGGTCCTCACTTTCAAGATAGGTTCCAAATATAGTTTAGGAAGGGTTTAATTGTTGGCATTTAGGCATCTTCACACAGTTGTGGATTCTCGTCTGTTTGGTCGGGACAATCGAACTTGCCATCACACTTTTTGTTTAAATCTACACATCCGCCATGTCCACACTGGAACTTATTGGCTCCACAAAGCGTGTGTTTACAATGTTCATACGATTCATCACTGCCATCCATGCAATCGAATTTTTTATCGCATTTGTTTTCCAACGGTACACAAGCTCCATAGTAACATTTAAAATCTGAATCTGTGCATTCTGTCTCCTTACAATTTAGCTCATCCGATCTATCTAAACACTGCACAGATCCATTACACCAATCCAGATCATCAATGTATTCACCGTTGTCACATCGTGATCCTTCATCAGCTGTAAATAAATATAATTAGACCTGGCAATAATATAAAAGTTTAGTGAAAATATTACATATGTATTTAAAATACAGCGCATTGATTTATACTTCATAAAGTTCTAAGCGAACCAGCTTAGCAGACTGCACTGTTTCATAACAAACCATCAAGTGCCAAGAGCGAAATGGACCCCTGTCAATATTCGAAGATGATTTTCGAAAGATTATGGAAATTTGGGTTCAACAGATGCATTTCCCTCGACGAGGTGTGGGCCGATAACACTCATTCTGGCCTAATTTCATGTATCTTCTTTTTATCCCCTTGTCAGAAATAAATACAATGGTTGTGCAATGTCTGAATCGATTTCCCACATTTTTGGTGCCAATCTAAATTGTGCTAGAGAACACATGTTCATTTTATTTAATTACGCTTATTTTTAGTAATTTTCTTAAGATGTCTGATAAAGTCAACGGCATTTTCGTTTTCAAGATAGACAGGATTTTTATATAACAGTAACTACATTTCAGAAATACAGTTTGCACAAATTCTATTTCCACATCTCCATTGCTGCATTTATGATATTCTAAATATATTTATATCGGAAGTAGGCGTGGCTAGTTCAACCCCACACTTTTTAGCATCTTTGTATACACTGTGAAAATGGGAAAAATCAGATAATAACCACGACCACTCCTCATATAACGGTAATGTTGACAGCTACTAAAAATGCGTTAACCCACTGAATAAATGCGCCACAAGCAAAAAAAAAACTTTAAATTCGATCTGATTCATTGACTTTACAGTATGCAAATCAAACATTAATGGATTTATTACAGTAAAACTTTTTAAAAAATTGCGTCCTCAAGTTAGTTCATCTGACGCAAAAAAAAATTGTCGAAATCGGACCCAGACACCAAATATGTGGCCGATTTTTTACTGAACATATCGGTAAATCGGTAAAGTGTAGTATTAAAATTAGTAGAGAATATTTTTCTGATTACAGCATGCCCTTGTGCCAAAAATGAGTAAAGTCAGGTCAATACTTTCTATAGCCCCCATATACCTAATATTTTAGTTTATGTATCATATATGGTATTTCTAAACTTCGGGACTTTAACCGCATCTGTCGGTCAATATGTAAGGAATCTTAATGAAATTGAGACAAAACCTCTTTCTAATAACAGTGTATTCTCTTGCATGAATGTTATCAAGGCAATAGTTCCCCAGTCCCCATATATCTAATATACGGATTTTTAAACATCCACTTGACTTTATTCCTTATACAATATATTGGGCAAACTGAGAGGTTTCTAAATCAAATTCAGAGTGTCTATATTTCTGGTAATGATATGTCGTTATACCAAACCTGGATATAATCGGGTCAAAATATTCCCTTGTACCCATATACCTTATAGATATTAGAAAATTAATAAGAATTATGTATCCGTCAATAGGTAAGATATCTTACAATGTTAAGTGAAAAAATAATATTAGATATTCTATAGTTTAATGCCAAAAATGTGCGAAGTCGATACCCAGCTTCTCATTGATTGAGTATAAATTGCTCCTATTCCCATATATTAAATTAAGCTTTATTCACATGTAATCGTATGCTACATGTATATCTCGATTAGTTAATGATTCACAAAATATCGTTATGTTAAGAAAACAATTCTATGCATAGCATGTTATGAGAGTATATAAAATATACATACATACTTGTAATTATATGCAAACACTTTCGTGTGGTTTAAAAATGGTCCGAAAAATACATAAATATTAGTTGACTTATACATTCATAAGTGTGCTATCGCAAACGTGACTAATTCCTAATTTTTATGTATTATATGTACATACCTATATACCAAATGTTTCAACAGCATAGATATTCGTAAGGCTACGACCACACATGCATGCAAAGCGAAGGCAAGCGAAAAGCGTAATGAGCTAGAGAAATAGCTAGCGATAATGGTGTGGAAACATACCAAAATATTAAGAATAAAAAGTTCTCGAAACTAAAAGTATGCTATCTCCTTTAACGGTAATCCTTAAAAACTTTTATGAAAGGCGATTTTTTGATGACATTTTATCTGGAACAAGACTACTAACCTATTATCACTTTGTTTGACTTTGCTATACCTAAAACTCTAAGCCAAATATCCATACCCGTTTTGAAAGCTTACATATCAGGTAACCAGATTTAGACAATTTTACTGCTATTAAGAGTATTTTTAATTTACTACTTTTATATATCAAAATTCGATACGGTTCCTAGAATACAAATAATAGATAATATTTCAGTAGAACAACTTTCACTTGTGTTAAAATCCTATTTTCATATCTCTGGAACTTTAACGATTAAATATATAATATACCATTTTGCCGTCCAAAAAACCAAATTATGATTATTTAACGGATTTATTGCTCAATTGAGCCTGATAATACAGGCGAAAGTAATTTTCACATACCGTTTATTACTAAAGAAATATAGCCGATGAGCAAAAAAATCACAAAGCGCATATTTCTAAATATATGTATGTATATATATATGTCAAAAGAAAAAGCTTTATACCGTAGCAACTGTTCGCGTTCCTCTGTAATTGACTACTGATTAAAGCTTTAGCACAATAAAGTACGCAAAGAGTTGAGAAGTGACTCGTTCTTTCACCATGTGCAGATATTAGGGTGGTTCCACAATTTACATATTGTTTTAAAATTTCGGAAGTATATCGGACATATTCCTACCGCTTATAAAGAAACTGGTAATTCCCAGGACATAAGTCCGTTTCCTATGAAGTATCCTATTGTAACTCTGATCTTGGTTGTCTTATCAAATAGTCAGAAATCAATACTTTAGACATATGCTATTTTTGCTATTATTATGCTCCAGAAAACATCTTCACTAAATTTCATTTTCACACATATTGATCGATATATACAGGTTGGTTGAAAAGTTTCTGCGCTCAAAATGAAAAAATACTGTTTGTGGTACGACATAACGAAATATATTTTTTTATTCAATATAATCTCTCTTATCTTCAATACACTTATTTTAATGATCCCACAATAATTTTATGCCATCCCTATAATGTCTTTTCGGAAACTCTGCAAAATACCTGTCTACGGCTGTATATTCTAGTTTCTTCATTCGACGAAAAACGCTTTCCACGAAGGATTTGCTTCAGGTTTCTGTAGAGGTAGTAGTCACTGGAAGCCAAATCTGGTGAATGAGCAGGTGCATTGTCTTGATTAAACCTTGAAGACCTTCTTTGCTGATATGGCATTAGCAATTTCATGCTTACTTGCTCAATGACTTCTGGTGTGGTTGCGGTTTTTGGTCGTCCTTCGCGTGGATCGTCTTTAAGCCTAGTACGACCTAGCGTAAACTCACTAGCCCAAAATTCAACGGTGCGTTTTGAAGGTGAGAACTCGTTATACGCTTTAACAATTGTTCATCAATTTCCTTTGCTTTCAAACCTTTCAAAATAAAGAATCTAATCACTGTGCGATATTGAAATTTTTTTCATATTAAAAAAATACTCTGATATATATAAATATATAATTGACAGAACGACTTGTAACTTTACATGTGTTCTCACGACAGATGTACCAATTTGAGAAAAAAGAATTGAAGCTAGTAGTGCTATTACTTGGTGAAACCAACCAACCTGTATAGTATATGCATATATCAAATGTACCGAAGGCAGAGATGCTCATTATCGCGGTATGTGAGTTTGGAAGCTATTGAAAGAATGATTGAACAATGCTTACAGAAAACTGTCAGAAGATATGTATATTATTCTGATAATCTATCGAGTTTATGTTCGAAACTACTACCAAATTTCTATATATGTGCCTAAGGAATAGCGAAAAATATAATACATATAAGTAAAGAGAAGATACAAGAGACCTGCAGGGTCTTTAATGAGAAATTGCATAACTCAAAAAGTATCGAAATCGCCAACGGCCCATATCTTCCCTTGCTCCAATATAGCGGATATAATGAAACCTTATTATACCCAAAATTTATATACCATCATTAAATATAGTTAATTAAGGTTTTAGAAATTAAATGTAAAAAATCCAGTTTTTAATTAGCTTAAGTTTCATTACCTTTTTGTAAGTTATTGTGATGGTGTTCATTTGGCTGCAATGAATACAAATAAAAAGTTTAAATATTAAACTTTTGCGAAGAATAATATCACTAAAGTTCCTACAAATATAAAAAATTTAGCAAATCTGATTGCCCCTAACATATTACACGCTACATTTATTTTAATGCTCTCGCAACATGTTGCAATAGAAGTTAATAGTTTTGTTCACCTAACGGCTGTTTGTATCATTTAAATATAATCGAAATAGATATATAATTCAATATGGCAATATATAATGTCAGGATGAGACGGTGAAATCAGATGGTAACTACACTTTACACTTAACGCCCGCTATATACTTAAATATAAAAATTTTCGAACCATTCGATATTGTGAGTTATCTTAGCGAAAATTACGTGAATGTATAATATTTAATATACTACAGTTTACGAATTACTTTAAGCTCCATATACTACATACTATGTATTGAATACTTTATGAAGAAACTCGGAGGTCGAGCAAAACCACCTGAACTACCGCTGCCAAAATGTATCATACGTAAGCACCACTCTTCCCCACACACGAAAACAGGATTTTAGTGATCCAGAAACAGACACAAAGACTTCCGCAAAATTCCCAGTTCACCCTTTCGAAGAAGCATGCAACGGCCACTGGCAAGCTAAAACTAATAAATAACCCGACACCGGACGGAGTCATGATACGGACAACAAGCATGGCTTGACTCACACAACCTCCGAAGCCGCTACGAGAGAAAACGAACTACTACTGCTAACAAAATAAGCACATACCTCTCGAAATAAAAGTATGGCAAACGATTATGGACACTCTAAGGAACACAAAATGCGGTGTGAACACCTGGCGTAAGCTGCGACCCCCAGATTAAACTTTCGGGGTACAAATTCACACGCCGCAGGAAAGGCAGCGCACACATCCCAACTCAGCACCAATAGCCAACATTTAGGGGGGGCCACCAAAAGAAAAGAGAAAGGTCCTAATGTCCAGCACTCGGTCCTATTTTACGGAGCGAAGATTTTCTGGGCAGATGTGTTAAAAAAAGGGAAAAATCGGGTCGTAAGTATTGGTAGAGACACCGCATCGCAGCCCTCAGAGGTTGCATCAGTCTTACCGAACGGTTCAGGTGATTGAAATTAGTTATAGCGGAAATGCCACGATATCAAGCATGGCAACGAGATGGAGATATGAGAGGTCGCGGCACGATGGACAGCCAGCTTTATAAGAACCTAAACTTATAGACAGTCGTAAATTCGAAAGAAGCCGGCTTCTACATTACGCATGCTACTATCCGTCATGGGACACTTCAAAAAGCAACTCTACAAAATGGGAAAAGTCGAAAGCTATACAACGCTGCGACTGAGGACGACGCTGAACACACATCTATAAATGTGACGATGGCAAAGGGACGTCCGTCGTAGAGACCTGGTTCGGGTCCAATAAAGCCGCGAACAATTAATCAACGTCATGGTGGGAAGAGCGAAGGCTAACTGGGCTATTATCCAGAAATTCGCAGAAACTTTTGCTACGCAGGCAAAAGCGGGACCTGGACGCAGGTGCGTAGATGTAAATCTCTCACGAGGAAAATGGACGCCACCCTGAAGTAATGCAAAAGCGCGTTCCAGGGTGGGCGACGGTCCCTTAAGGGGTTTTTTTTTTCTTCCATATTCTCAATAATTAAATTTAGCCACTTTGATTGCATTTATGTCACATAAGTATATCTCTTTAGAATAGATTTTAAATTAATATTTGGGTCATGAAGAAAAGTTCAGAGAGTCATAGTATTGAGTATGATTATAGAGATTCACAAATATATTGTTATCCATTCATAATTCCTTAGAATAGCGAAATTTGAATTCTTTCGCAACGTGATTTTATACTCTTGCAATCATGTGCCTACAGTAGTATAATAGTTTGTTCACCGAACGGTTTTCGAGTAATATTTTAATATAAAGTTTAGCCAACACTTGCACATATTTTATCGGCTTTGATTCTTTCGAGAGTATAAAATGTTCGCTTACACCCGAACTCAACCTGCTTATTTGTACTTAGTTTTTATGGTTTGGCTTTTTATTATTCTGCGAGAGAAGCAACAACATGAGAGCAAAAGCCATATATTTTGCAGATTTCCAATTGAATAAGCTAATTTTTTGGCGTTCTTGCTTAACTAATTACTCTACATATACATATATCTTGAAATTAATATAATTATAAACAAAATGACCACATTTTATGGTTTCCAATATACAAGTTTACTTGTGTATAAAATTTAATATAATAAGGTTTGTTGTTGTTGGTGTTGTACGATTACCTAGTTCCCGTTTGGGTGATAAATTTCAGATTCGTTGTCGTCGAGGTCATCTAACGGGAGGCCCAGATTTCCAATGACGACAAACTTAACAGGGTTAGATCGTCGAAATAACAGCCTTGCGATAAAATCCGGGTCAATTCCGTATCGGCTTTGTGGGAATTATATAATAAGGTTTCATTATATCCGCTATATTGGAGCAAGGGAAGATATGGGCCGTGCGATTTCGATACTTTTGAGTTATGATTTCTCATTAAAGACCCTGCAGGTCTCTTGTATCTTCTCTTATTATATGTATTATATTTTCGCTATTCCTTAGCACATATATAGAAATTTGGTAGTAGTTTCGAACATAAACTCGATAGATTATCAGAATAATATACATATCTTCTGACAGTTTTGTAAGCATTGTTCAATTCATTCTTTTCAATAGCTTCTCTAAACATACTACCACAAGTAATAGCACTACTAGCTTCAATTCTTTTTCTCAAATTGGACATCTGTCGTGAGAACACATGTAAAGTTACAAGTCGTTCTGTCATATTATATATTATATGATATATCAGAGTATTTTTAATATGAAAAAAATTCAATATCGCACAGTGATTAGATTCTTTATTTGAAAGGTTTAAAAGCAAAGAAATTGATGAACAATTGTTAAAGCGTATAACGAGTTCTCACCTTCAAACGCACCGTTGAATTTTGGCTAGTGAGTTTACCTAGGTCGTACTAGGCTTGAAGACGATCCACGCGAAGGACGACCAAAAACCGCAACCACACCAGAAGTCATTAAGCAAATAAGCATGAAATTGCTAATGCCATATCAGCAAAGAAGGTTTTCAAGGTTTAATCAAGACAATGCACCTGCTCACAAAGGTGTTTTAAAAATAACAAAATTCAACAAATTAAAGTAGGAATTGCTAGAGCATAAACCGTATTCACCAGATTTGGCTTCCAGCGACTTTAGTGAAGATGTTTTCTGGAGCATAATAATAGCAAAAATAGCATATGTCTAAAGTATTGATTTCTGACTATTTGATAAGACAACCAAGATCAGAGTTACAATAGGATACTTCATAGGAAACGGACTTATGTCCTGAGAATTACCAGTTTCTTTATAAGCGGTAGGAATATGCCCGATATACTTCCGAAATGTTAAAACAATATGTAAATTGTCGAACCACCCTAATATCTGCACATGGTGAAAGAACGAGTCA